TTTTTTTGTTTATTTAAATTACAGGTAATTTTCAATCAAAAGTGAAAGTGACATTTTGTACATGCCTAAAGCACAGATAGCTGTCTAAAAGCCTGCATGGAACTCACATCAATCATGCACACTAAAGGACCACCATGACACATTGCAGATTTAATAATCAAAATATGTTATTGAATGCATAGTTGTTGCACCATCAGGAAGTAGAATGCAACCAAGATGGGGGGGGGGGGCACCTGTCTGTTGCCATGGAAACAGATCTAACTCTAGTGACTACTCATCATGAATAACATATTTCAGGGAGGCCTTGTATCAACAATGTTGATTCAATGTTGTGGAAATTCAGAATATGAATCTTTCACCCACCAGAATAATTCTCAAAAATGCTTCATGTTGTCTGGCGTTAATATCGGAATCTTTTAATAATTGTAATGATGGACCATCATGCACTTCACCAGACATCATTTTCTCCATCAAAGCTACAAAGAAAAAAAATGTAATTTATTTTATTTAACTGCATGCAGATAAATGTCAGAAAAATTATAGATATTGAAAAAAAAGTTTTTTATTTTATAAATCTATTTAATTCTCATTGGTATATCATTAATTTTGCATGAACAGATTGGGCCAAATTTTTTTTTGCCAAGGAATATTTGAAAAAATTACTGCGAAACTGACCAGTATATCTGAATGCTGTGTCTGTGGTTCTTTGAATCTCAATATCCACATTTTGCGTTGTCGCTGGCACGGCTTCATTCAATATAGCAGGCACTGTAAAAAAAGAAATTTTAATCCACAAACTGAAAAATGCTGAAGGTATGAAAAAACAAACTGGTTATAAATAGATACAGATTAAAATAAAAATATCAGCATACACATTTTTACTGATCACTGCCATTTATAACTAACAAAATATGAACACCCATATTTAGGGTGAAACTTTTTAATTTATTTCACTCAAATTAGTCAATTATTATTTTTCATATTAATTTATTATTTTTATGTTCTACCCACAAAAATGACAGGAAAACCAATACAACGACTAAATTCCAATTGGGGGGGGGGGGTCATTCTTTCTTAATTTTAAGTGTGTATTAAATGAAGATTACTAGTATGTCATTTTCTCTACTGAATACTTTCAAGATTATGGGTTCACATGCTGTTAGGATACAGAAAATAAAGGGCAGGAACATTATACCTTACTTTACACTTTAATATGCTAAGTAGATACAAATTTGATAATTGTCATGGAGACAGTACGTATCCCACTTGGGGAACAATAATTCGCTGAAGTTAGTTAAATTATTTTTTGTGATTATCTGTTTTTAATTCCTAAGAATAAACTTAAGGTACCAAAGGTATTTGAATCTAATTTGATCTTACTTTTATGCATTATCCAATCCAAAATGGCCGACAAAGTAGAAAATAACACTATAGGGAAATATGTAGTCATTGTTTCCCTGGAAACAAGTTCGATATTTGATAATTGTCATGGAGACAGTACGTATCCCACTTGGGGAACAATAATTCGCTGAAGTTAGTTAAATTATTTTTTGTGATTATCTGTTTTTAATTCCTAAGAATAAACTTAAGGTACCAGAAGTATTTGAATCTAATTTGATCTTACTTTTATGCATTATCCAATCCAAAATGGCCGACAAAGTAGAAAATAACACTATAGGGAAATATGTAGTCATTGTTTCCCTGGAAACAAGTTCGAGTTCCTTCAATTTTATGAGTTTTTGTAAATATAAAGATTTCGTAGTGTAAATAAAATTTCACATTTTACTACATATTGTTAGCCTTATCATTTGCAATTTACTTACAATCATCGATTCCTTCCCCTCCTTTACCACATTCTTTATTAAAGAGTCTAATACCAGTTACTATATGTGTTAATTCCACCAGCTGTCTCTCTTTATCTTTCTTCACAAGTGACATAAATGTACCCAACTCTGTCTGTGGAAAGACACTCTGCAATGCGGCTACAGGTGAAAATAAACACGGCATTAGAATGGCCACACTCACGTTTAGACACTATGTGATACTGGTCAAGATTCCAAGATGTATTGACAACTGCTGTACTATCCTATTATAACCAGGTTATACTAACAATAACTGCAGTAACACCTTTCAAATGTTAGTGATGGTTCAGTCAAGTAAAACTGAGTATAAAGGCCAAAATGATGGTAGATGATTTCAAATTCGATGTTTTACACTAGTCTCTTTATAGACAATTTCAATTTAATCCAAGCAAGCAAGTTTATGTCTATTTATTCTCAGTCTTCATATAGCTGTTGACAAATTACACTTCAAACTGTTGTTTGTTTGTCCTATTTGTATTCACAATTAATCAACCTCAATACATAGACTAGCTGTCTATTAAAGACAATTTTTGTAAGTATCTGGGGCATCACTATACAAAGTTTTGAATAGACAATAATGTTTCCATTTAATTACTATAATAGGAAATATAAGCATTGGTTTTTAACTTCAATATAACAATTAAAACCATAGAAAATTTGGAAATAAATGTAATAAGTAGTAATCTTGACATACCAGTTGCTTCTCTGACTACTGCAATATCTGTTGGTGATCCCAAACCTGATCGGAGTAAGACTGCTGATACTATCTTTCTGTACAGACTCTCTAATTCTTCTCGAGTTCTAGCACGACTGTCGGTAATCTCTCTCACAACTGGTTGTAAACGAGATTCCAATACTCTCCTATGCTCTTCTAGAAAGTCAGCTGTTGATGATGAAAAGTAACACATTTACAGTTGATGTCATTTACAGAGTTGGATTTTCGTTAGAAGCTGAACACAAAAGACTAGCCAAATAAACTTATTTTACCATGATTTGTGCTTTTTTACTTTAAACATTCCATATATTACATGATTATTGTTTCCCAGTGTCACTACTTACCTCTTGTTGTATAGTTCATATCAAAATAGACCTGCATTTTAACTGTGTCTAGAGCTGGTGATCTGCTGTCTAACAGTCGATCTACACACAACTGAAAAATAAGTACTCATACATTAGTTCTGAAAATATAAAATTTCAACACTTGAAAGTTGTATCAATAGATACAATGTTTTTTGTATTTTTTTCTTTTCTCACTGATATCATATTTTACTGTTGATAAGAGTCTCAACAGATAATCTTCAGGATCCAAAAAAAAAAAAAAAAATCTCACTTTAAGATTTCACCTAAATCGTTCCTGCAAATAAAAATGTGATTTACCTTAATAAGTTTGTGGACATCATCCTTCGTCAGCGTTCTGTCTACATTAAATTCATTCCTTGGATCCAACACTACAGCTTTGACCATAAAAGCAACCAAAGTTTCAGAGACAGCTTGTCCTTTACTAGCACACTCTTGTGCTATCTCTCTAATGATGTTCTTTATGACACTCTCAGCTTGTGCTCGTGACATTTTGGATGGTTACAATTCTATGCGTAGAAAAATTAAAATACCTTTAAAATAATAATAACATGTCCACTTTTGTCACCTATGTAAATGTAGTGCTTTATTTCATAATCTTTTGATAACAATTTTAAAAATATGTTTTGTACAAAATTATTATTGAACAATATAATAATACATTTTGTTGAAATATAGATCGATGAAGTTATTCTTTTGACTACAGTAATGATGTATCAATAGGTCATGTGATTCTGGAATGTCTTACTTCTCCATTATGTACGAGAAGAAACATTCAATTTTCAATCAAAAATAAAAAAATTTGAAATGAGGGTGCTTTGACTATGACTAACCTGCGTACTGTTGACACCTATTTCAGCGAGCTATAAAATCTATCACATTTTGATCACCCCCGCATTTTTCAAAAATGTCAACTTTATTAATCACTTATAATTGGGGGCACAATGTAAAAATGTTGACTTGGCCAGAAATTAATTCACAAAGAAAATAGGATGCTACATTCGTCCAGTGCTTTCCAAAAAAGATACATTTTTATTTACAGGTGTGAAACCTAAACTGACACCTGTTTTATGTTAACCGTTTATGTTTATGCTCACTACATATAAAATTTACTTGACAGTGTCAGTCTATGGTGCAGTACACATATGTCTTTCACGTCTATAGTAGATTTCAAGCTTGACATTTCCCAAAGACATATCTTGTGAAACATCTGAAGGGTAAGAGGACTTGATGCAATGTGAAGGAAATTTATACACACAATAACCTCATCACATTGTGCAGTCTTGAACATTGACATTATTTACATGTATACACAGTTTAACTTCATCAACTATAATAGTAGAATGATTTACTGTATAAGGCTTACTAGTAATTATTTGCTGAGTTTTATTTTCGCTTATTGTGCTAAATTAAAACCTAGTAACTGTTCAAATTAGAATGTATTTTTTCATCAGTCACCACAAAACACGGTGAACATCTGAGTTCATGTCAGAAATAAACACGTTTACCCATAGTAATACTAGGTATTACAATTACCATAGTAGATTTATGCCTCTATGTATACAATACTAAAATAATCCAGGGTACAAGTGTAATGCTCAACTCAAGTGACTGACGCCTACTGGTCTATAACTAGAAATACCATGAAATGAATAAATTCATCTCATCTGACTTATATATTGTGACTATCTAATGCATACTGTATATAAGACTTACTTACCGAACTGATTAACTCAAGTTTTGATTCAAAACAAAACAACCATCGCTCATAAATGCAATTTAAACTTCTAGCCAGTGTTTTCAACCCGTTGCCAATGACAAACAAATTATACTTCCGGGTCACGATCCACTCCCGAAGGAAACTCTCGCGATCTACGCGAGCAAGTCACATTCGTGATTTTGGTTGGTGGCGCTCCCGCCAGGTAAACAGCTGATTCTCTACAACTTTACAAACAACACATGTGCGGCATGATGACTGTGTTTTGATTGACATCACTGTTTGATATTGGCTTGGTCTGGAAAGTAATCACGAGTAAACATGTTAGTATGCCATCACATTTCTTATGTCATAATGTTTTTTAAAATGTGATAATTTTGCTTAGCTTAAAATTATGTTGTTTTTGTTGTTTTGTTTTTTATGGTCACTGTCAGAACTGGAACCGTGGTCCAGTATGCAGCAATTTACAGATGATTTGCGATAAATAATATACTACTAGAATGAATAATTATCAGAGAATGTTTGTACTTTACCAAATCAATCAATCAAAATACATCGATGTTAAATGCAATCACTGTCTTTGTGAGGGACTGTGGTGCAATGTAGTGAACACAGGTTGTTGTTACCAGTTAAATATCAAATTCCGCTTGTGTGTCAAATGAAAACGGCTAGATTCAACATTTGTGAATATGTAAGGACATTGAAACAACATCCAAGATGAACATTAACTATTTCTTTCACAGGCTCACTCATTTGTATTCAGTATTTATAGAAATGTATGTCTGTTGTTGCAATAGATGATTTTATGTTCAACTGCGAGATCTCGTGTATTGCGTGAAAGACGTGGACCAAACTTCTGACGCAAAAATTAATTTGATTTTGAACTCGAATTCCCCTTTTTCATAACTCAAAGTCAAAAGGCCGATCTTTGACAGGGGAATATTGCATTTAGATACCCTTACTTCAAAAAATTGACCATCATCAAATGTGTACAGCACATTAAAGCTGGGGAGTCATCACCTATGCATGCGTCAGATGGGCATGGGGTGTCATTGTTTACAAACAAGCGTCTACCAACAAGCCTTTACGTTTTTAGCATGTGTTGTTATCATCAGTTGTTATCATTGCATTTTTTGAATTCCAAGCAATTTTTGACACCACTACGTTGATATGACCTTTGTTTGTCCTGTTTTTACATTCATTTCCACACATAACGCGAGATCTCTTAAAATGGTCTATTTTGTGACACTTATTCATTCACATGAGATCTTCATCACAAATCACACCCCTTGTATACGCTTATTTTATAAAGCCTTGTCATTTCTTATCATATAGCGATAAATACCCATAGCTGTGAAAGTAACGGTGAAGGTTCAACTCAGGAAATGTGTTTCTACTGTCCTTATATATTAGCATATACTGTAAATTACTTTATTTTCACTTGGAATTAATTTTCACTGACGGAATAATTCAGTGAAAATAAAATCCAGTGAATATACCTTTTTTCCTATATTTTACATCCAACTCGTCAAAAATCAGTGAAAATTAATTCCATACAAAACACCCAAAAAGTCAGCGAAAATTAATTCCACAGCTAAAATAAAGTATTGCATTTTAAATAGAATTGCTGGTCTGATAACCTTGTTCATTTCATTTCCATACAATCCCAATGTTTTCATCAAGCATTATTAGAATAATACATTATTGATATGAACTTTAATATATTATAATTTATTTTTTCAGGTCAATGAAAAAGTGCCAAGATGATGCTCTGCTGGTTCGACATCTCCCAGCCGAACTGAATAAATCTGAAAAAGAGGAATTATTAAAACATTTTGGTGCCAATGAAGTGATATGTATGAGTGATAAAGGACCCATGGTAAGTATTTAATAAACCATAATGGCGCAGTCATGGGTCAGAAAACCTGCCATTCTCTGTAGTACATTATAAGTGCACTGATAAGAAGGATCCTAACTCAGATATTGCTGGTCAGCACTTATTATATAGGCCGACCTGTACTGAACATTGTTTACATTTTTTCTGACTTGTTGGATATACATTTACATGTACATTAAATTATACCATTAGATTATTCATAGAGATTTATTTAGGTCTTAATTTTACTATTATGTGAAATATATGATGGGCATGCATTAGCTACCGTAATAAAATTTGAACACACAATCACTGACATTCGGACACAATATTTAGTACATATATTTTAAAACTGTGCAAACTCAGGCCATCACATCAATTACTGTAAAATCTGTATTAGAAACCTCGGCTTCTATTAAAATAGTACAATGCAACAGAGGGGATGCGGCTTCTAATAGAGCATCTACACATATGAGAAATGATGAATTTTTGGTTCTCAATTATTCGAAAAAAATGGGTGCGACTTCTATTAGGGATGCGGCTTCTAATACAGATTTTACGGTACTTAATACTTTCACAACCCTATTGAAGCTTAATGTAGTGTAACTTTAAATGAGATTCTTTATATAATTTTAGTTTGACCCAAAACAAAGTGATTGTATCATTCAGCAACAGTTGACTGATTTTGTTATTTTAATTTTCAGAAAAATGCAGCAGTTGCGTTTTTTAATGATAACACCAAAGCTACAAAGGTAAGATCCTTTGACATGAATTTAAAGTTGTCATTGGGATACTGTATTTTCCTTTTATCATGATTTAATTTGAACAACGTATTCTTAATTATGTAAATTATTAGGGGAAATTGAATAAGATAATGGAATAAAAATGAATATGCCACTTTCAACATTTTACTCATGTAGCGTAAAACAAATTGTGGTGAAATATCAGTTTTATGATACCGTATATAATGTTATTTTCTAAAAAATAATAACATTGTGCATGTGAATTCAGAATTCAGGGCTGAATTTTTAGTTTCATTGCTGTTGTTTTGTTGGACCAAATGTAGCCTCACAACCAGTCTATTATCCTGTGGTTTATACTCCATCCCACAATAGATTTTGCTTGGTAACCATATACCGTTAGATTTATTCACTACATTATGCAGAATGGGCAGACATGTTTTTCATCACCGTGGTAACTATCAGTTGATATGCATGGGGAAAACTGTTTTTCATCGTTGCCAAAACTAGTATATTTAGATTAATAACATTTCTCAGCCAATTAATGTCAAGGTCGCCCACTGACCATTGATGCAAAATTTGAGCAGAAATTCCAGAGTATTGTGGCGTGGGCTGAGCCACAAAATGATTGGCTACTTTCTATGCTATATCAAATGAGGCATTAATGGAACATGTGTCTTTTAGTTCTGTATGGATAAATGGTCTTTGAATATCAACAAAAGATTTTTTTCAAGCACAAAATAAATCAGAAAATAGTTAATATCGTACACAATCCTCACCAAAATGAAAGAACTGGGGAGATCAAGACCTGGTTTATTAATAACTTATTTCACTATTCGAAAAATTAGTTGATGTGAAATGATAATATTATGTGGACATTATTGTTTCTCCAGGCTCTGAATAGGCTCCATCAGCTGACTGTACTAAATCATCGCCTTGTGGTGGAATATGCAAATAAATTACCACAACATTTACTCCCCAGCCAATCAATAGAGAAAAAAAATAGGTAAGTACCAGTAGAGGTCAATATTCCGATTTGTTGATTCAAAATGGGAAGTATTGCTCAAAGCAATGCTACGGTATTAACATGCTGTATGTGTATTCAGTGGGGGGCAACACTTGTACTTGCATTGCTGTTGTGATGACTTGCCTCTATCAGTCAACACCATTATTGTTTGAAACAAAGTCACTATTTGAATTATCATATTGAATATACAAAGTTCAAATTTGATGTTAGTTCCCTAATTTGCTTGTTAAGAATATCGTCATGCAACCATGGTATCAATAACTATGGATAGTACATGTAACTTCAAGTGGATACGTTGTGACCAATCAGCATGACTGTTATATAGATGAGAAATAATGATATCTAATCCAACAGCTTTCCAATAGCTACTGTGATTGGACACTATACAAATGTGCAATATCATACCTTTTCACGGAATTTCCCAAATGAATGGATTACTGATGTATTATTAACTCACTTTCTCTCATTACTTCAGAGACTCAAGTAAAGAAAATGTTGAAAAAGAAAAAGAAAAGAAGAAGACATCTCACTTGACTTTACAAGAGCATATTCAGGAGCAAAGTAAACAATTTATTGGAATAGCGCCCTCTCTGGGGTAAGTGAGTGTGAAGTTGGCTTTAGAATTATATTTCAATTCAGTGTCAGAGTCGGATTCAAAACTCTGTCAATTTGAGATTCACTTATAGTTTCAGATTTAAAACTTGGATTCAGCCTCACAGATTGCATATTCAAATTTTGATTTGTGTTTAAATTCAAAATTCAGAGCTTCAGATTTCAAACTCAGAATTAGATTTTGATTTCAACATCAGATTCACGTTAAAATTAAGTCAGCTGTGTTTGAAGAAATAAGAATCACTTCATCAAGTTAGTTTGTAATTTATTTCCTCATTGATAATAATTTATCTTTCAACATAAACTCTGTATTCTTCTCTATTTTTCAACCATGATTTAATATCAATCTTTTAATGCATCTTTTTTTCTGATTTATGTTTTAGCATTAATTATCCGTCAGATCCCCGATTGAAATATATATATCCACCTCCAACCAGTGATATCTTAACAAATATACTACATGCAATGATAGGTGAACCACAGTTTTATGTTCAAGTGTTACATTTAATGAATAAGATGAATTTACCACCACCGTTTGGAGCACTAACACCAGAGCCACCTATTGAAGTGAGTATATATCTGCCGCCTTCTAGTGTTGAGAAATATTAATCCGAAGTGGTTACCATAGTCTTACTTAGTGACTAGCATACTCACCTTAAAACAAACACGTTTTTTAGAGGGTGGGCACAAAGTCAACCACTTTCTCTAAAAATCATTGTGCAAGATTAGGGGCACTATTATAGTGTCTGCTTTGGGGAAATTAAATTGCAAAATGCATCGTCATTGATTTCCACCACACTTTTCACTTGCAATCAATGATTTCTTCAGGGCATGTCATCATTACATCATGTGATTATTATTTTATGAAGATTTTGGATTCTGACAAAGAAATAAAATAACGACGGATGTATTTGTAATTGTTGTGGTATTGAAATAATTTCTCAAGGCTTTGTTCAGATCACAGGGAAATTCTTTCTTTATTTTCACCTGTTACCGTGTACCAGTTTCCATAGCTCTAAATGTCACATTGCTTGGAATTAGTGAAAGTTGTAACCATGACAACATAGGTAATTAACCAGGTAATTAACATCTATTTTAGCATGATGGTAAATTTCAAGAAGATATCATTGAAGCAGCAGAAATGCAGATATCAAGCGAAGAAGAATCAGAGTTTGAGACTGATGATGAAGACAAACAGACATCAAGGTATACCCACACACTGTCTGTGCACACAATGGTGGGAATCCAATTTGAGCATTCAAATGAATTTAAAGGTGTTACCAGATTAATATGGTGCAAAGTTAATCTCCTTAAATCTTTGCAACTTTAAAATTGCTGTATTATTAATATTAATAACAATTTTAACTGTATAAATAAATAATTTTAACTTTTTAAAGTAAATAATATTGGTAATAATAAGTATTACAAGCATTGTAATATATGTAATTAATATTGAGGATATTAGTAAATATAATATTACTTTATTAATAACAGTGTCAGCTTGAAAATGTCAAAATTGATTTAATTATTGCTATTAAATTATGTAACATACTGGTGTACGAATATTAGCACTATTAGCTTAACACATTGACAACCATATAGTGCTGTATGCTGCCACAATGTATAGAGTGCAATTCGTGTTGATTCTAATGTCTGTTTAATCTATGTGGCTGACTGTTCACTCAACAGTGTAAACTAAAGTGCAATCTGTGCACATCACCAAATACATGGTATTTAGTGTGGGAGACTTATCAAATGGGAATGTTTAAACTATCAGTCATGTGTACTGTTCCTGTTCTTGGTGAACACAGGCAAATACAATGCAAGGAGTAATTAATTTGGTTGGTTGGTTGTTTTTTCTTTGAGAGCTAAATTAAGAGGTGGACCATAATAAACTCAACTGGTTGTGGTGGTAATGGCTTTGGTGGTGGTGGTGGCTGTTGTGTGTTGGGTGGGTGGGAGTGTGTTGGATCTGTGGAAGAATTGGAAAATAAAATGCACAGGAAAAATAATCTTCCAGGTATCAGTGACAGAAAAACAAAAACAAATTTTGCATGCCTAAATATAAGGAAAGAAATATATCACAAAGTGGGAACAAAATTACATCAAATTAATCAAAATAAGTGAAGAAAAAAAATGTGCACAGTCGGTCTGCCACCCCAGGAGTTTATAATAGTCTTCCCCAAGGCTTTCATATATGTTACTGTTTTCTTTGCCTGTATAAATAAATAATGAATAAATTTATTTATTTAATAAACAAATAAATAACATTGGACAATCTGACAATTGTTAAAATTTGACATTTTATCCACTTATACAGTGATATAAAGAAAGCTCCTGTAAAAAGACCTCTACAAAAAAAGAAAAGCATGACAATTAAAAGACCCAAATTACAACAGTTATTACATACACAAGTACCGACAGCACCCACTGGGTCATCAACATCTACGTACACACCTGCTGAAATATTTGAAAAGCAGGAACAACAGCAAGTCACTAAAAAAATGGAGTTTAAATTGTCTGAATCATTGCCAGGGAGACGAGTTCCTGAGAGAACATTGCACCAAGGTTAGTATGACATGTTTGACCTCTCTGATGGTCACCTGACGAGTTTGACCTTTCTGATTGTCACCTGACGAGTTTGACCACTTTGATTTTCACCTGACAAGTTTGGCATATTTGACATCTGATGGTCTCCTGACAAGTTCATATTGTGTAAATTTCAGAACATGATCAGATAAAAATTTCTTTTTTTGTGGTGTCTGTTCTGAACTTTGGTGTCCTCGTTGTCAGTGTCGCTAGTGTCATTGCTACCTCAGCATTAACCTTTTCTTTGTACACACAATAACTTGTAGTAATTTTTTTTGAATCTTTCAACCTTTTGTATTTCAACAAAATTAATATTAATTCATATCAAGCCCAATTTAGTAAATTTCTGGATTATTTTAATTTGTTGTGATAATGTGTTATTGTAACTGCTTTGTCTATGATGTTAATGAAAGGACAAGTATATTTGCTACATCTGAAAATTTTTTCAAAAACTGTCAAGTTTTGAGGCTCATTATCCTTGTTATTACTGTGTACCATATTTGTATTGTAGAATCATCCTATGACATAACCGAAAAAGAAGACAATAATACGAGCGAGTCATTAGAACCCTCAGGGTTTGGTAGAATAGAACCTGTCAGTGTGCTTCAAGAAGAAGAGGAAAGTAGTGAAGAAGAAACCGAGGAAAGTACAGAATTTATCACAGAAAAAGAATTAAAACAAAACAGATTATCAAAAGATGGTAAGAAATTGTGTTTTCTCAGACCTGGTTAGATTCTTTGTATTTTTCACTGCAATCCTAACTAGTGATTTTTTATTTACATAGTAGAAATCATACCTAAATCTTTGTTTCGAAAATATTCGTGATGAAAATTCAAAATATTTTCATGGGTGCCATATGATATCTTCTGCCACTAGTAGCATTACAGGGTTTATACCACTAATTGAATCTCCATAGATTGCTATATGAAAATGATGAACAAAAGTGGATTACATGGCTCAAAAATGGGAAATTAACATGCCAGTAATCAACCACATGAAAAAAACTAACATGTTGGCCAGCTCAAACTCTTGCAAATCTCAGGTAAACAAGACACACCTACTGTATTTGGATTGCACCTAGAGAAATCACTGGAAAAACACCAAGGTGTACACAGTCGCTAAGTAGTAAACAAAAGACCACATGTTGGTCTCACCTCTGACCCAGGTGATCACGCCCTCAAACAGGGAGCCCCTGAGAAAAAAAAAATATTTAAAAAATTTCATTGGTTCTTGCAAGGCATTTAAATTGATGGCTACGAGCAGCCATTGGTTGATTAGTTGCATAAGACCTACAGAAGAGATAATTGACTAATTTTGTTTCCATATGGTGCATGTTTTTATCTCTGACATTTTCAATTGACCATTTGGTTATCCTATTATATATTGGTGTTGTCTCCCTTGTTCTAACATACCCACAGTCTGGGGGTGACAACTCAGATTTTATTCAGTGCTAATGTATTGTATGTCAAGCTAAAAATATTTCCTCTTGGCATGAGAATGCCTGTGACATAAGCAAGTCTAAAACACAGAATCACATTCCACGAGGTACTGAAATAACTTCCAACCCCTCTGAACTCCCGTCACTGTGGAATTGTCCATTTTTATGCTGACCATTGTACAGGGAAGCATATATGCAAATTAGGCATTGGCAACTAACTGCATGAGGAACATTATTCAAACCGTTATTCAGCGGAAGAGTTTATCTCTCAGAGTTTCATAAAGTTAATTAAAAGCCAACACTAAATTTAATAAAGAAATTATTGAAAAAAACAAATTTACAAAATATTGCACCAAATGTTTTTTAGGAAAATTGGTGTTCAAAGGAAAGGGTTAATATAATTTCATATACAATGTATTTTAACTTTATTAAAATAGAGACACGAAAGACGCCTGCGTTTAAAAATTATGATCCAGGAGAACCAACAACAAGACTTTATGTTAAAAATGTTTCTAAGCAAGCTGAAGAGAAGGTATGTATTAAGGATTTATAAAATATCAATGTATGGTTTGGTAGGCAATGAGGATCTCAAGATATTGTGAGTTCCATGTATGCGCCTATCAAACATATTCTAACCAATGGCAGGAATGCAGTGGACGCTTGGAAAGGTTTGATTGCGTCAACAGAACAAAAATTTAAAATGCTTGCTTTCCGAGTAAGCAAGGATACTTGCAAGGATAGCAGAACAACCCCAAAATGAACACAAACAAGATTCACTCATTTGCATGATATTTTGAAATATTTATGTTTCTCATGCAAGTTTTGGATTATTGGTGAATTTAATATTAGGAATGAAATAAAATTACCGGTATCTCTATTTCTTTTTTACTTACAGGATTTACATTATATCTTTGGTCGCTATATAGACTTTTCATCAGATTTAGAAAAAGATATGTAAGTATAAACAAGCAGCTTTATTAGTCCCCGTTCGGACGCAGTCCGAAAATAGGGACTTGTGTTTTGACCTCTGTGCGTGCGTGCATGCGTCTGTGCGTGCGTCCGGACCTGTATCTTTGAAATGCCTGGACCAATCACAATTAAACTTCACACATACGTCACACATGATATTATACATATGCACGTCAATTTGTTCCACCATCTGATTTAAGATGGCCGAATGGCGGCCATTTTTGTGCTAAAAATCATCAAAATCAAGCATTTCCCAGCTGTTTATAGATGGATTTTGTTCAAACCTTGTATATACGTTGGACATTATAGGACCTTGATGCACAACATGTTGTTTTACGATCTGATTTAAGATGGCCGAATGATGAAC